ATAGGATTAAGATAGAATCATCTATCTATTTTTTACCAAAAGATGGTTTACCAAATGATAAAAAAAATTCTAAATTGTCACATCTTAATCTCAATTCAAGAAGTGATAAGAAAAATTCTGTATTATCACATACTTCTACTACATCAGAAGAATAAGCATTTAATACATCTTTAAAATTTGGGGTAAATATATTACTTGCATCTCATTTACCAATTCCTGGGACTAATTCAACTTATGACTGCACCTATTTTTGCAACAAGATATTGAATTAATATCCTAATCTATATAGAAAATATAGTAGTGAAAATTTCAATTATTATGGAATTACTGACAAGACATCATGTGGAATCTCAATAGAGACCATTTGCCTATTATATAAATTAGATCATATTTATAAAGAAATAGAAGGTAGATATAAAGCTGAATCTTACTTTATTAAATGTAAATGGTGTAAAATTAAGATAACTGCATAATCCTCCCTGCTCTATAAGCACGGGAGATGATCTAACTATTTTTTTGGAAGTATAATAAGAAATATTAGACAGCTTTCTATCTGAAAATTTTTAATCTTTTTTCAAATTAATGAGAAAAAAATGGATTTAAATTGTTTGTATTTATATAAAAGGAAAATGACCAAGTCTGATAAAATACTAACCCCCAAATATCTGGATTGGAATGTCAAATTAAGTGGGTTAACAAGCATTTGACAGATAAGATTCGTTCCAATTTATATAAAAGATATAAAAAAGAAACTGAAAATGAGCCATGGCAATTATCAGAAGCTATGACAAGTAGATCAGAAAAACCTCAGACCTCTGATTTCAAGCCTATCACCTTCGAAGCCAAACCTGATTTAGAGTTAATTATCAAATCCGTGTTAGAGCATTTCACATACCTGAAATTCCGAAATAGTTTTAGGGAAATTGATAATTATAATTTTGCATCGCTTCAGCCGTGGAGCTCACTATGTCCTATTTGCGATGGAAAACATGGGAATTATGGATTACATGGCGAATGGTATGGAACAAAATATTGTCTTGCTTCACTTCAAGAATTCGCGTCGTAGCATAGGCCGGTCATATGAGATCAATAACCACAGAGATATTCGGTAAAAGTTCTTGCCAAAGATCTTTTTCTACTAAACCTGGTGGAGATAAATCGCTTACTGCGCAAGAATTGCTGGACACGATCTTTGGTATCCCTTATCGTGTGACCGCTCATCGGATAAATACCATGTTGTAGCACAAACCTCAGTTATCATACTACGCTTTTATTTTTTGCCATGTTCGTCAGGTACACCAGAGCGACCGCGCTTCTCAAGAGAGCTCAAGAGTTTTTTCCCCACAGTTTTCTGCCCCTACACGTCAAGCTACATAGTTGGCCGTCGCTTATACATGATGGTTGTGTACCGCAGGCTCGCCACACCCATACCTACTCAGATGCCAAGGATGCCCTGAAAACTGGAATAAGAAACGTAAAAAAGAACATAAAAGAGGGCGTAGAAACGGATTTGGTATTGTAACCTTTTGTCCTCTGACCAATATGTTTATTTTTTCGGCCTGCAAACCTGCAAACAGTGTGTTCTGAAATGCACCTTGACAATGCTAGTCCGCTTGGAAGATTTTAAAGTGGATTGGCGCTGGGCTTTTTACCAGCGCTGGCTTAGTAATTTTCGACCTCAGCTTCGCCAAATGGTACAACCGCCAGAATGAGAGTGTTCTTCTTCATGCCTTTGAACATGGTTCCTGTCCAAAACCTGATGTTATGCAGGAACAGCTGATTTATCGTGAGGTTGTTATCAAGAAACTGAGACGAATTCTCGAGCCGATCCCTGACCATAGCTCTTATCACGTCGTTGTCGGGAACCACGGAACTGGGAAGACCACAGTAGTCCGGCAGTGTGCTAGGGATGTTGGAAAAGGTGTCATTTACGTTGATGTCCCTCCCGTGTTGGATAACTTCGTTGATAATCTTGCAAAGGCCATTGGATATTCATTCAAGGAGTATGTGTCCTTCACTGAATCATTTAAGCGGAGGATTCTAGGCAATAGCGAGTCCGGTAAGGTTATTATAAAGAATTAGTACTGATGTTTGCTCTGCACTCACTCCTTGTTTTATAGCTGAACAGCCCAGGTTTTTTCGTGTTCTGAATGCCTTCGAGAGAGGAGCTAGAAAATACAAGGCAAATAATAGCAAAACTCCAGTGTTGATCCTCGACAACATAAGTAAGCTGGGCCAGGAAAATGTTAAATTACTAAGGGATCTGCAGGACATCGCAAAACTCTATGCTGACCAGCGCAGTTGCATTATTGTGTTTGTCAGTAGCGAGGGAACAGTACCACGCATGATGATGGGTAAGTATTGTATGATATAATTTGCCTGTATCTCGTTTCTCGCTGATGGCTTCTTTGCTATACTCTAGAACGATCATCGTGGTCACGCTCTGATCGAGAACCCATTGTCATCGGAGACCTAACTAACAAAGAGGCATTCACCTACCTCCACGAAAAACTTGGCATTGATGAAAAGATCACCAATCAACTACTCCAACTCTTAGGTGGCCGGATTCGTGATCTCAAGACATATGGTGATAAGATAAATAAAGAAGGCGCGACATTCGAAGGTGAGAGAGCACTTAATGTTTGAACAATGATGTTGGTATTTTGCATGACCGTTGTGTGAACGTTTTCATTACACTTAATATTTGTTTTTAGCGGTTCGTAAAATTGTGCTCGATGACGTCAATCACAACTTTCACCAGGCTCGAATGAAGAAGGGCGAAAGAAATCATGTCATTGGCAAGGTCATCGTCCAGGAGTTGGTGAAAAATAAAAAAATCCATTTTGATACATTTATCGAGCTCGTCAACAACGAACAAATAGCCGATGAATTGCTACAGGCCAATGTTTTCCCATATGACCCGGAAAGTGGAATCGTCACCTTCCAGTCTCACGCAACTGAAGTTTTTGTGAGAGAGAATCCAGAATTGAAGTCGATAGGAGTTTTCACTTAACAAATGTATAGTCTTCCATTTTTTATATTTTCGTCACTTTGAAGTAATGATAGTAATATCAAATAAAGTAAATAAAGTTCAGACCCCAGTAGCTAGAAAATATTAATTCACAATCATGTAATAGCGCATATTCGCATTTTATCATTTTATATGCATCAGTTGCTACTTTCAGCAATGATTTATTTCGTTAAATAAAGTACAATTTTAATATCTTTAGACATGTATCTGTATGGTTATCATCCCAAATCCTTTTTGAAGGTACTGTGCTGTTTCTTCTGATGAGCCTGAACACAGTGTCCAGACTCTACCACCAGAAAAAATAGCATTGCTTGCACGTGTATTTTCAAATATATATTAATAAAGCATAGTGAACTTTTATTTGTATTCAATGATTACTGCTAAATATATTTCTTGCTGAACAGGTCCTTTTGGAACCATATTACGAAAAATAATTTGCCAAAATGGTTAGATTATTCCAAATGGGACCATACTGCGCTATTTCTTCTACGCGATTTTGACGAGTCTGGACATAGTGTCTAGACTCTACTATCAGTATTTCTCTCACATGCATTTTCAAACATGTATTATTAAAGCATTTTTTCATATCGGGTATTATTCTAAGTGTGTTTTGCAATCACTACTAAATATAATATAAAGTACTTTTTGCCAAACATCATGGAAACAAATTTGTCAAAACAGTTAGATTACCCCAAACGCTTATATCAGAAAAAATGTAAGTTTCAGGAGTTAAATTTAACTAGATGCTGATCCTGCTTTTGCATATTTTTGACGAGCTCGGACACTCTACCATCAGAAAAAATAATATATTTTTTGCACATGCATTTTATTCGTAATCATTTTCCCAAATTCTCATTATGCTTACCTAGCTAAAGAAAAAAATCTGAAATCTGATTACTGATCATCTCGTGATTTGAGTTGCAAGGAAGTGTTGGAAAGCTAGAGTGATAACTGTGATACAAATTTTATAATTTAGATATCTATAATGATCAGATCTAATTTAACCAAATCAAATCTGTTTTTCACCTAAAGTTCTTTGAATAATTGAATAAAAATGAATTTGTATTTATTAGAGTATACTATTGCTAAATCAGCTAAAATCAATAAAAATACTATAAAATCAATAAATCATTTAATCTGTTATAATCTAGTAAAACGCTAATATAGATTTAAATAGTAGAATCTATTCTAAGCTAGTTGGAGTAAGCTATAGTGATATAAACTTTGAAGAATATAGAAGAATGGTTAATGCATTAGGCCTTTTAACAGAAATACATTATAATCATCAAAACCCATATTTTATTAATGTATAACATTTTTATGAATTCGATAGTTTCAACAGAATTCTACCTTCCTAAACCATTTCTACTACTTATCTTCAAGTGGATTTGTTTTACAAATTAAGTTAATTTATTCAAGAATCTTATTTCCTTTCATTTAGTTTATTCTGTTTCATCTAATTCTTCAATCCATTTATTTTATTAATATTCTTCATTTTTAGTTTCATTATTTCAGCATTGTCATTTTTATCATTTATTATTATCTTTAATTTCCAATTATTCTTCTTTTACTTTATCAATCAATAATGAATTTATCTTCTTATTATTTTATATAAATCTTGGTTTTTTTATTTTCTATTTGTTCAAAAATCATTAGACCCTCTGTTCGATTATTTTGTTATTATTAATAAAATTCATATTTTTCGTAATCTTTTTTCTTTATTTTAATAATTCTTCAACATCAGTATTATTATATATTTCTTCAGTTGATTTTATTATTATTCTTAAATCTAATTCTTTTATTCATTTTCTTTTTATTTATTCTAAAATTATCTTCATATTTTCTTTATTATCTCATTTAATCTTCATTTTTCTTTTTTTATTTTCATCATCATTGAATCCATTATTTGATTATTTTATTATCATAGGTTTTCTAATTTCTATAATAAAATATTAATAAAACATATATTTTAACATAATTTCTATTAGGCAATTATTATTCAAGTATTTATTTAACATGCTTTGTATTTATTGCCAAATACAAGTATTCATTTACTATTAAAGGAACAAATTTATATTATTTTATTATTAAGGTATTAGAGGATTAAGATGATGATCTTTTACATATTTTTATTTTTTATTTTTTTAAAGTTACATTACCTAAATACTAGAAATCTATATAGTAATTATTTAGCATATAAAGTTATAAATTAAGTCTTTACATCTAATCTTAACTCTTAAGATTATAATTAGACTTAAATTCTAACCAAAACCTGCTTGCTAATACTAGTCTAAGACCTGTTACCTAGGTTAATACCTAAGACATTAAGCCTTAGAGATCCTAAAACTTTAGAACCACTGTCAAATTTAGATAGAGAAATCACTTTCAATCATAAATACTTATATCACTTTTTCCTTATACTACTAAGATTAATCAGAATCACTATTACTTTTATTGGTATTAGAGTATATTTTATATAACCAGAAAGGCTTAGTTATAATTATTCTTATAGAATTTTAGAAGGTAGGTGACTATTATACCTATATTATCAAATTTATCTAGGAATTGAACTCAGTCATTATCCCTAATTATTACTATAATCACATAAGAAAATTTAACTTCGATATAGTATTCAATCTACTAATTACTGATTAACTACTTTTTTACTTATGTAAGGATCTCAAAATTTTAAGATGTGAGATAGTATCCATTACAGACCTATCAGTAAAGGTTAAATTTCTATTAATCTCTGACTTCATTTACATTTACATTTTCTTAAAAACTTAGTATTTAGGTATGATCAATGCTATCAATGAATTAATCAATCAGTTATAAACACATATTAATATATATGCTCACGTATTTAGTTACATATAAAATTCTTAAAAAAATTATCTAATTTTATGCTTTAACTAAGACTTGAACTTATGGTTATTACAGTATAACTCACAATAAGAGTTCAGTTCTTACTAACTGAATTAGAGATGCTGATCCTTTATAACCTTTTATATAGTTTTTTTTAAAGTACAGTAGTTTCGCAAAATCTTTTATTATGATAAATGTAAAATAAAAATAAAATATAAAATCAAGAAGAAATTACAAAAATCTTGTTTAAAATTAATCTAAGATTAATAAAAAAATTGATCTTGTACTTTCTAAAATTAAACTTAACCTAAGCTAAGACTATCACTTTTTGATAAACAAAAATTGTAAGAACATAATTATTACTACATCAAAAATTTGATCAATAAGATCCTAATCACTGCATGAAAATAATTGGATTAGAATTGTTAGAGAAAGAAGGCAGGTTAAATATAAGATTTTAATCTAAAGAAGAGAAAATCTCTAATTTAAATTCAAAACTAATATTGAAGGATTTTCCAAAATCATAAATGACTGAACAGTAATCTTTTCAGATATTATAAGTTATTTCAAAAACAAAATGCATAAAAAAAGAACAAATAGTGAAGATTATCTATGATGCAGTATTATTATGAAGAGTAAATAAAATTACAGACCAATTTTTTTGATAAATCCTTAATTATTTAAATAAAACATTTAGTTTAAATAAGTTAAAAATTAAAGATTCACAGAAAACATCTTTAATAAATTGGTGAATTGGAGTGATGATGACATATTTTGATATATAAAATAATATCTGAGAATATTTTAAGTATTGAATTGAAGGGCTATTGTATTTAAATATGATTATGCTAAAGAGTTAACTTTATTGTTAAAAATATTATCTGAATAAGCTTTGATTTTGATAAGTTTGACATTAAGCTTATTAGTGTCAATTAATTTAAAAAGACATATCTAATATATAAAATTATTGCTTTTGAGAGCAGGTTGGATAGTAAGAGTTTTAGTAAAAAAAATCTAATATGATTAAATTGTAAAATAATAACTGTAGAATTAGTAAAGATTGAAATATTGCAATTAGGAGGGGTAGTTAAAAGAATGGAAAAAATTGCTGCATATTTAGATAAAAATAAAGAAGAAAAGACTAAGTAAATGCTGAGAAAAAAAAAACTATTAGTGAACTTTAGTAAGTTTACAATTATGCTTATCCTATTTTAATTAAAGGTAGACCAGCTTCTTTAAGAGAACCATTAGTATAAACTTTTAAATTGTTTAAATGAGTGAAAGAAAAAAAGAGGTTAAAGAGTTATATATTGTAAGGAAATAAAATAAATTTATTAATTAGGTTCTGAAAATTTGAAGGAGTGAAAGGTCTTGAAACTGAAAAAAGGTTAAAATTTAATATAGATAAAAAGCTAGTTACAGCCAGCTTATGTAAGACTCCCAAAAATAAAATGTTATGAGTAGCATTACAATGATTATTCTTAAAAGTAATTAAAATAACTATACAAAACACTTTAAGAAGCGTAATAAAACAGTTTTTGTGATATCCTCTTAAATGTAAGACTTAGTCTTAATAAAGTTGATAATAATTATAAATATTCAAAACTGTATAGTTATGAGAACTGATAAGAAGAAAATGATGCATAAGATAAACAGTATTATTATCAATAAGAGTAATTTTATTGAGGACAAATTTATTTGTATAAGTATTTTAACTAATAATAAAATTTGTAGTTTTGAGAAATTGAGATAGTCACTAGTAGTCGTAATAAAAATTATAATTATATGGTCAAATTAGTGGAAGAATTCTATCATTATTTGGATTCAAGATTCATTTCATTATGAAATACCACTTGAGAGTTCTGAAAAATTATGTAAATAGCTGTATAATAGTATATAAGTTATTATTTGTAAACATATAGTTACCCTGATAGCTGACTAATTATTCAACATAAAGAAAAAAACCTTTCCTTAAATCTTTGGTATATTTTCTGTAGAGTGACAGAATCAAATCAGAGATTAAAGAAAGACCATCAGTAATAATATTTTGTAAGGGAGTAGGAACTATTAACTAAATATTAAGTCATACAAAAATGATAGTAATCAATCATCTTTTG